GGACCATAAAGAGAGAACAAATAATTTTTGTTTGCTAATTTTCTGTTTGTCTGGTTTGGATGTGTTTTGTGTCTCTTGTTTTGTTGTCATTTCTTCTCTATTGACCAGTCTCTGTAGTGTGTTTGAGTCTTTGTTGTTCAGTGAAACATCTGAAACAGTGACTATAATGAAATGTATTATGTCAACAGATTTGACAGAACTGTATTAGGTTAGTTTAAGCAATAATACAACATTTAAATAGAAAATATTAAATTAAACTTAATATTATTGCTTTCAACTAATACAAAAGCGTAACGTAGCATAATTGTACAGTATTGGAGTAAATGTGCTTAGTTACTTTCCATCACTACCAAAGAGACACAAGTCAGCCTAAAAAATACACAAAATCAGCACAAAGAAGACTTAATTAAGGAGCACTCTTTAAAATAATCAGATGCGTCTGGAGACGCCGCTCTGTTCCTCGTCTTCTCGGAGGAACGAGAGGTTTAATCTGAGGCGAGATCAGAGCGACCGGGAGCAGGAGGAAGAGGAGGGAGGGAAATGAGAAGGAATTTGGGCATCTTAACAAACTCTTAATTACGTTCTCTCTCCTCCGCTGGTGGCGGGCGTAAACGGCGGTCCCCGGGGAGCCTGTGATCCACTTTCTGATCTGCAGAATTCACTGCCGAGCCGCTGATCAAAAAGACGGAGCGGCCTAGATGCTTCAAACACATGGGACCTTTTCCAGCGTGGGACTCGGAGCTTGTCATTGAGCGGAAGTTTGGAGGAAAAAAACTCCCTTTAACGACGGATTTGAAGAGTGTTCAATGCGCCATGAATTGATAATGAGCGTTCATGCAGCGTGTTGAAGGCGTTTGTCCCATATATGAGGCAGAATATATCGGAGATGACCTCCACCCACGTTCTCTCTTTCTAATACACCAGGAGGCGGCGCTTTGATGTTCGCCATCAGCTGGATCCCCGGGGAGTTCCTGCTGTAATGAAGCAGCAGCAGAAAGCAACGCGCTGCCAGCAGGAAGTCCCATCAGCCCCTGCAACGAGTGTGTGTGGGGGTCAGGAGGTCACGGACACCGGATCACGACCGCTGACCACCTGCAGCATCGTGATCAACATCGGGGTGACGATGTGAAGTACACGGAGATAAACGCCCTTTGAGACACGTTTTTCTATCAGAATTTGATCTTTTTATTTGGAGAGAAACATAAGATTATGCTAGATTTTGTCGTTTGCTTTGACGCAGATTTCAAAATGGTCCATCAGGAACTACAAAGACTCAAAAAGGACTACAAAGTGACTCCAAAAAACACAAAATGAATGCAAAAAGACACAAAAGTGCTACAAAAACGACAAGATGTATTATTTTATTTGGAGAAAAACATAAGATTCTGCTAGATTTGTCGTTTTTTTGCCAAAATGGTAAATCAGGAACTACAAAGACTCAAAAAGGACTACAAAGTGACTCCAAACAACAAGAAAAAACACAAAATGAATGGAAAAAGACACAGAAGTGCTACAGAGAGACACAACAGGGGTCAGGAGGAAAGCGGATCACAACCGCTGATTATTATGCTTAACATCTTGACGAGAAAGAAAACATTAAGTACAGGAAGATAATTGTCCATGTTTGTATCAGAATTTGATGTTTTTACACCTAAGCTAGATTTATCGCCTGCTTTGATTTAAAACAAGCAGATGTAAAAATAGTCAGGAACTACAAAGTGACTCAGAAACTAAAGACAGAAAATATGAAGTTCATGAAGATAATCGCCCTTTTTGGAGTATTTTTTTCAAACAGCAGTTTATCAAGAACTATTTGCTGCTTCTTTGCGAAACTACACCGTACAATTGCATGATTTGCATGAACTCGGAATGGATTGATTAGCAGTCAGAGCGGTTTGCATGGATTTCAGTGTTTCTCAGTTATATTCTGACTTACCCTACACACTATATACAGCATATGCAGATATCATACACTCGTACAGAGCGTGCATATCAGCCTGAAACCTTTGTCAGATCACAAAATCCCAGACGCTGTGAAAAACGGGGATGTCTGTGAACTATCTGCAGAGGAACATGGGAGATTAGGGAGGAAAAGAGTGCATTAAGATGCTCTGCTTGTAAATATATATGAGGGGGGGAGAGAGGAAGGGAGAGAGGGGGTGTAGGTTTTTTAAGTTGCTGTCACCGGGCTGTCACTGTGTCTGTCAGAACAGATCCATCACGCCTCTGACACGTCGGATTCACATTTGCATGGAGCTCGTCCTTATTATTCATTCAACCTTCCTCCCGCCGAACTAACTAGCATCCGAGAGGCAGATCTCATCCGGCTGCATGATGGAGAGCTGCTACTGCTCTCTGACAGGGCGTGTGTGTGTGTGTGTGTGTGTGTGTGTGTGTGTGTGTGTGTGTGTGTGTGTGTGTGTGTGTGTGTGTGTGTGTGTGTGTGTGTGTGTGTGTGTGTGTGTGTGTGTGTGTGTGTGTGTGTGTGTGTGTGTGTGTGTTCGTGTGTGTGTGTGTGTGTGTGTGTGTGTGTGTGTGTGTGTGTGTGTGTGTGTGTGTGTGTGTGTGTGTGTGTGTGGCCGCCATCTTCCCAGGTGTGCAGCCATCTTGTCAGGTGAGCGTCTGATGAATCACTATCAGTGTTTAAAAATGTTTTTGGGTAAAATAACTGATGTTGTTTGTTTGCTGTTCATGCTTGTATGAGAGGGGATGCAATATTATGTGATGACAACCGTTATTCATCAACTGTTTTCATTTTTTAAGATCTTTTTTTGTGTTTCGTTATTATTATTATTTTTATTTTGTTGGAAGTTACTCGGTCAAAAAAGCCATTTACTTTTCATTACTTTTTAATCACCTTCATATCAAATATGCAAATAAAGACAAGAGGGAAAAAAAGATTGATATCAAGCTAACATGGTGTGTTTTTATTAAACAAATCAGGTATTATGTTTTTGGGTTTTTTCCCTTCCCTGTAATTTGCTATATCGGATTTAGTGCATGTAAATGGTCTACAAAGGCTAAAATCCCTGTGTTCCTACTTCCGGAACATAGTGACATCACTACGGAACACTCATGCTTCTATTTGCTACTGCTCCAACACATTCTACGTGATAGGCTAAGGGGCGGGACATCTCTGAGCGGTTGACCAATCACAACAGAGCCGGCCAGCTAAGCAATNTGTGTGTGTGTGTGTGTGTGTGTGTGCGTGTGTGCGTGTGTGTGTGTGTGGAATACAGCGAAAAACACATGCACCCTTTACACACACGCACGCACGCACACACACACACACACACGCACACACGCACACACACACACACACACACACACACACACACACACACACACACACACACACACACTACACACACGCACACACACACACGCACGCACGCACACACACACACACACACACACACACACACACACACACACACACACACACACACACACACACACACACACACACACACACACACACACACACACACACACACACACACACACACACACACAGCTAATTATGTGTCCTGTGATGTATTTTCCTACTGATGTTATGAGCTCCTGTGACTGCTGTTTGTGGGAAAACCTCGTAACTCCATATAGTGATTTTTATGTTTTATCTTCTGTAGGCAGGTTTCATTATAATCCCCACCAAAAAAAACGTATATCTTATTTAACTCATTCTGGTGAACTCAACATATTGGCAAAGAGTGTTGTATGCTATTAAACTCAAAAAAGAGAGACAAAAAAAGTCAAATATATATATATATAGTTATTATTTTTGTATTCTTTAGTTATTATTATTTGTATTATTTAGTTTATTCTTAATTTATTGTTATTTTTCACAAGCTGTAATGAAAGTGTTTTATGATTAAAGTTTGATTTATTGATTATAACGTTATTTAAGACTTCACATACAGGAGATACAAGGTTTATATCTGACATTAATGCACATGTGATAGGCAAATAACAGAGACACTCGCATATGTTTTCTTATTTTTTTTATTTTACGGTCACAAGATGAGCAGATACATCATTTTAGAAAAGAAATTGATATTTGCAAAAAAATTATAATACAATTTTCTCAATATAGATTATGTACAGAATGAAATGTGGTCAAAGTGAAATATCGTTCTGCCTCGAGAAGACAAAGCAGTGAGCGGCCCTGCGAAGACCCGTCTCCATAACCAATAAATATAAACTGTATATATTATGTATGCTGCTCTCACCCAGGCGTGGACAACACCAGGGTTACTTCTCAAACAATATTCCCTTAAATCATTTCTTGAACATCACACACACTCGCACACCCAACGAGAAGCTTGACACACAAGTGCACACAGGGCCAGAGAACAAATTACAGTGGGGTTTTACAACAATGGGCCATCTTAACTCATGAAAAGGGAAGAAGAAAAGCAAAAGAAATGCGAATGGAAATACCCGCCATTGTCCTTGTTCAGGGGGGAGAAGTGGCTCTCTGGTCGGAGCCGGCTGAGTAGCACTTGACATTTTGGTCCGATTCAAACAGCCAATTCTACAGAAAGCTACCGAGCTGGAAAACCTCCCTCTAGTCTCAGAGATCCTGTAAACTCCCTCCTTCCCCCCCCCCTCGTTCAGACTCTGTGTATCTAATGGTGGGTTCCAGTTGTATTGTATACTGGAAGGTGGGAGTATCCCAGTCGGAACATTTCAAAAATAAATTGAAACAATTCCTATTCCTTTACCCCTTCAAGGGCGACGCTCTGACGCTGCGTGGATGCTTTCGTGGTTACATCTAAACTGGGTTGGAGAAAACACAAGACGCTCAAAGGACACACGTAAAAAATGGACTTTAATTGAATGTATTATGTCAACAGATTTCAAATAACTGTAGTAGTTGAAAGCAATAATTACCTCCTTGTGATAGAATGTTATATCTTGCTGCATGTACCTTTTAAAGTTCTTAACAAATAATCTGAGGGGAATTTCTTGTTGTTTGTTTGTAACTTGTGATGTGTCATTTCGTAAAGCACTTTGAGCTGCATGTGTTGTATGAAAAGTGCTGTATAAATAAAGCTTTATTTATTTATAATAGAAAATATTAACTTCAACCTAATATTATGCTTTCAATTAACCTCATACAGTTAAGTGAAATCTGTTGACAAACTACATTTAATTAAAGTCAACGTTTCAGTTTTTTCAGCTTTACCTTGTTGCTGGGCATCACCTCTCAACAAAATCGCCCTCCTTGTTCTTGGATTAAGAATTATGACTTTGTACCTATGAGCGAATACACACACTTGCATAAATCATCCGTCTTGTTTGGCGGTTAATTACTCTTGTTTACCCTCCGAGTAACCTCCAGGATGGGGCGGTGCGATAGGAGGGGAGCCTGGGAAGAGGAGATAGCACCAAATAGTAATCTGCTGATGCCGAGGAGTGAAAAAAGCACCGAGCAGGGCTTTGAACCTGGGTGTTAGTGAATTAGACGAGGTTGACCGGGGTCTGAGGACGGCAGCTCCATCAACATCCTGTTCTGACCGAAAGCTGTTCTGGGGTCAGCCGTTAAAGGAGCTGAGGAGTCGGCCAATCAGAGAGCGGCTCAGGATGTACAGCAGGCTCTGATCGTTGCTTATTTCATTACGGGGAAAGCTACATAAATCCACAAAATGGAGAGGAAGAGGCACAGAGGGAATATTTGCATCTCCCCCTCCACCAACCCCCCTTTTGCAATCCCTCCCCCATTTAGTGCAGAGTGACTTTAATCATCACTTTCGCCAAAACACATTAAGCCGGTGTGTCCGGAGTTGAAGAGTGAGAGAGGGGAGGGTGGAGGAGGGTTGGAAAAACACAAACTAGCGCATTAGATTTGCAATAGTGATGCATCGCTCTGGCATTACTTTGGAGATTAAAGAAGGGACGTTGTGTTTCATTGCAGCGGTGTTGATGGTTGCATGTTGTGTTGATGTATGACTGTCCTCTGGAAGAAGTCAGTGGAGCTCCCTTCCTCACCGTCTTCCCTTTAGTTCCCTCTTCTTCAAAAAAAATCTCCTTTTTTCTTTATCCCTAAACCTCAAAGCCTTTAACCCCTAATCTGAGAGCACCTCTACATTGAAAGATATTTATGCAGCTGTTTGATCATGTACTTGAGTCAAAAACAACACCTCCTTTGTAGTGGGAGATAATACTGTAAAGTGGATTGCATACATTAAACATAATCCAACACACAACGTGACTTTGTGTTACTGCATCTGTACGGAGAAAGGGATTGATGTAAAGTGCTTGAGAGCTTAGGACAGGCAGCGTCTATTGTTTTTCAAACCCAGTCGAGATATAACCACGCCCACTGAAGCAGATATGAAAGAAAATCACAGTTATGCATAGCTGATTAAATATGAGTGGATCTTTTAATATCAATTGACCCTGGATTTAAGACAATTAAACTAGCAAACAATGTAGCCTCATAGTTTGTCTTTTTGTTGTTTGATACATACTAATTTGAGTATATTTCCAACACTCTCAAAGGATCAAATATATTCCGTTTGCCTAAAAACGCTGTAAAAATGTAAAAAAACTGACTGATAAATGACCAATATTGTTTTTTTCCCAAGCCAGTAAAGTTGATATTACTTCAGCATTGTTATCATGGGGACGTTCTCTTTATACATCCATGACGCAGTCGCCCGGAGCAACGGAAATGCGGAAGTGGGCGTGATTGAATCTCAAATGGGTTGGAAAATCGATAAAAGTGGACAGGCAGGCCGGAGGAAATTGGGCGGAAACCATTAAAAAAAAAACACAACAAAAACTAAAGGGAATTAAGAAATGGGAAGGTTTTAGGACTGGGTGCATTGGGGGCAGGTTCAATATGTAGACTTTATAAACAGAGTGGGAGGGAAGGGGGTCCAGAGTCCCCGGGAAAACAAAATGACATATTTAGTTTTACAGTCTCAGAGAAATCACAGTCCAAGGGTACAGCCCACCAGTATCCAGGCTTTCTGGTCATGTGTCTATCCAAAAAACAACCCTCGGGCATGGGTTCACCCTGGCACCCAGCTCTGGTTGCTGTGTGCTGGTGGAGGGCATGCAAACGCCCCCAAACTCATCCCCATCCCCATGCCCATGCCTTGGGACAGAGAGCCGTCAAAGTTGAACTCCATGCTCTGTGCCGAGTCCATGAAGTCATTGAGCAGGATGGAGTCTACGTCACAGTCCAGACTATTCGCAACATTCTCCATCTCCAGGTTTGCGGCCATTCTAGCGTGGGAGTTGTGCTGATGGTACCCCGGATGGTGGTGATGGTAGTATCCGTGCCACGAGTCGGTCATACCCTGAAGGTGAGCTCCGGGGTAAGGCTGGTGACGGGGGTGAGGAGCGGATGCTAGGCGGCAGGGGTCCTGGGGAACGTCCATGACTCCAGCGGGGTTTGGCGGCAAAGATGGCGATGTTGGGAGGTGTGGTCGGGGAGCGTAGAGACTGGAGGTCTTGAGGATGTAGGGCTGCAGGATGTCTGTGCTGACCCGTGGGGAGAGGGCCTGCGGGTGCATAGGATTCTGAGGGTTGTGCATGTGACTCTGACTGGATCGAGGGTTGTGATCGTTTACTTTGTTGTGTCCGTGCTCGTGACTGGGACCGTAGTCGTGTGCCGGGTGCGGCTTGTGGCTGTAGTCGAGACTGGCTTGGTGTTTGTGACCCTGATTGTGGTTCTGACGGTGGGTTGTGTTCTGGTCATGGCCCGAGCCACTATGTAGACTGGGATTGAGAATGTGCTCTTGGCTGTGATTGTGGCTTCGACTCTGATTGTGCACGCCGTTGGTCCCTTGCGTCATCAGGGAGTGAGTTTCCCGGCCCAGCACTGTGTCTTTGCTGCAGTACGAAGGACCTCCGGTCAACAGACTCTGCAGGGCGTTGTTCTCCGAGTAGCCCCTCATCGGGCGCTGGAAATTGACTGGCTTGATCTCCTGGATGGTCTCCATGGGGGTGTGGTGCCGCAGCATTCCCATGGAAGGCTGTCCATACATGGGTGCGCAGAAGGAGCCCTCTGCTTTGGGCGCGAATGGGTATCCGTTGCATTTGATTTGCTGTGACTGGGGGTAGCCGCTCTCGTCTAGACTGATAGCTCCCGTCAGGTCCGTCAGTTGGGGTAACTCCACATTCGGGCAGTGGCCCCCGGTGCCCAAAGCTGGAGATCGGGTGCTTGTTGGGCTGGGGTACAATCGAGGGGACGCGGAACAGGTCAGTCCACCTTCTTCAGGTTCGTCCGCCTCTGCCTCGGCCAGGATGGGAGACAGGCAGCCGCTCAGAGTCGATGCAGAAGACGAGGTGCGGGAATGGAGGTCCGTCCAGGTGTCGTACTCCTCGCCCCCCATGCCCACACCGCCTTTCCCTGCCGGACTGCCGTGCTCCGGGGATCCTTGCATCGTGGGTCCAGCTCCTTGAAACAGAATCAGAATCAGAATTGTTTCTATTACCAAGTAGGTTTACACATACAAAGAACTTTGGTGTAAATGGTGCTAAGATACAAAGTGGAAAAATATGAGCGAAAAATAATGCTATTATAAAAACTATTTTAGAGAATATTGTAAAAAAAAAAACTTTGTATAAATAATATTTACCCAAAATATAAATATTACCGTGTACCGTAAAATCAAATATGACAAATACTATATTCAAAGAGGAGAACTGTGCAGGTTTCAAAAAAGGTAGTGTGGAGCAGAAATGTGCAACATGTTCAAAGCCATTTGCAGGATTTACAGAACAAGATATTGTTGACACGATGTACATTAATGTGATGCATGTAGTTTTACCTTGTCCCCGTCCGATGCCGGCCTTCTTACGGCCCGCGCGGCCCTTCGTCTTCAGAAACCGGGGGCCGTTGTCGATAGACGCCGCCCGTCTTCTCGGTCCTTTCCCCATTTTACCGCCTTCTGGGTTCAGCATCCACCACGAACTCTTCCCTGTGCCTTCGTTCTGGACCCGGATGAAGCGACTGTGCAGGGAGAGGTTGTGTCTGATTGAATTCTGAAACGAGAGAAGCAAAGAGAACAAATCAGAATTGTGTTTATTGCGAGGTATGGTTACACATACAAGGAATTTGTATTTGGTGTCTGATGGATCCAACAAAACATGAATATCGATTAGTTTACAGCTCCACAAGTTGCCTGTAAGAAGCGTTTTTCTTCGCTAAGAAACGGTTAAATTGTCTTCAGACAGTATCAAATCTAAATTCAATATTTTAGAATCAGAATCGGGTTGATTGCCAGGTACGTTTACACATTCAAGGTATTTGCTTTGGTGTCTGATGGTGGAAACATAAACAACATGAGAAAATAAGTCGTAAGGAAAGGTCAAAAATATTATAATTATATAATGAATATACATTTTAAGCGAGGTAGGGATATATAGATATGTGCAGAATATATTCAGAGAGATGAACATGAACTAACTTACAGAATCAAAAATGAACAATATCCTGTTGACATGATGTGCAATAATGTAATGCATAGTGTGTGTGGGGTGGGTTAGTATCAGTGGGGTCACACTGTGACAATTATATGTCTATTAAACAGAAATAAGACAATAGAAATACAAACTTCCTAGTTTTACTGTAGATTTGACTTCCCCATAGTCAAATACCAAAACCAAAAATCACCACAATTTATCAAGTGGTTACAATTATGTGTTAAAACACAGTTTCCTCTGCGGAGATCTTGAATAAATGGTCACCAATTTGTAATTTCAGATGGCTGACATACTTATGTATATATAATAACTTGCTTTATATTTTGTTATTGTTAATTTGTAAATTCAACATGTGTACTTTCTACTTTCTTGTTTATTTATTTAATTTGTATTGTCTTTTTATGCTGCTGCAACACAAAATGTCCCAAATTGGAATCAATAAAGTTTTATCTTATACCTCTCTTATCTTAACAGGCTTGGGTGAAAGTAAAGGGGTGAATATGGACATTTCGCTGCATACTGTATATCCACTTTTAAAAGATTGTGCCACTTTCTGCAGCACTAAGCGGAAGGGAAGAATATATAATCATCATCCCGAGGAACATTCAGGGTTAAATAATCACTTCTTCAGAAGTCATTTCAAATGATGGCCAAACTTTCAGCGCCGCACACAGTGAGCGAGAGAAAAGACGGATGGAGAGAGAGAGAGGGAGACGGAGAGCAAATAGGGCGAGGGGGAGTGAAGGACCAATCGATACCTCCCCACCGACTAGCCTCTCCACACTGAGTCATAATATGGACATGGGTGCAGCCTCCACATCAAACCATCACCAAGGTTACAGAAATGAATCAACCCAATCACAGACAGCCTGTATCGATTGAAGGGCCTCCAAATATGAGAGTCTGAGATCCAGCCAGGGGAGGGAAGGGAGGGAGGGGAGGGAGGGGGGAGACCTGGAGAGGGACCAGAGTGAAAAAATAAAACCTGGAATAAGACCGAGGGAAAGTAATTGATGCCATTCAGAGCAAACTCAAGCCCCACCTTTTAAATGTGGCTTTAAACTGAATTTTATACGTATTTTTAAAATAATTTTATTCTCAATACTCTCCATAGTTAATATTATGATATTATAGGTTAAACTACCTAGTACTGTATACATGAATTCAATAAACCCCACCTTTAACAAGTCCAACAGTGAAGTGATAACCCTTTTGCATAGCATACTTTTCCTTTTGGTACTTAAAGTATGTTTTAATGTTAATACTTTCTCTTAAGTGCGATTTTGAATGCAGGACTTTGACTTGAGTATTTTTGGACTGTAGAATGGCTGTATTGGAGTACTTCATCCACCTCTGGTTGTGGGTGGGTGTGCAGAATGGAGAATATGGGGGGGTTGAGTATTGGATAAGCCTCTCCAGACCCCTGTTTGAGTGCCTGAGTGACGGCTGTTTGGTTAATCCAGAAGCATTTGAAGCCGCTGCCAACCTGGAGTGAGTTGATGAGATCTAAGCCTGCCTAAAGGAGAGCTTAGCCGGGATACACATCATCTCGGTCGGCCAAGTTAGACTCAGTACAGCATGTTCGTCCAAATCTCTCCTGCTCATGTCATTATTCACACTCTCTCCAGCTTTTTCCGCCTTCTCTTTTCGCCTTTTTCAGATCTTTTAGGAGAAGCAAACCTCCCCTCTATAGTCTAGTTGCCAGATTGTGCACCCGGAAATGAGTACCCCACATTTTTATGATAGAAATATATAGTACGGGTCCTCAGCACATAGAAACTGCCGGAGGCCAACTTGCATATGTTTGGCAAATTGCACAATTAGCATAAGTTGTGTTAATTAGCATGATTAAGCATATGCAGACAATAGCTACAAAATGGCTTGGCCGATTTGGACTGTTTTGGAGGGTTATTGAGGATGCTGAATCCATTTCGGGCGGATTTTGACTAGTGTTGTGACCATTGGATATAGAGAGGACAAGAACAAAAGTATTAATTCTACTGGGGACAATTTATTTCAAATAGATAAGAAATATGTCCAATCCAAATGATCCAGAGTCCCCTAAAACTACAAAATCAACGCAAAATTCATCAAAATCAGCCCACAGAGAGTACAAATATGGTTCATTTCTGGTTGAAACTGCAATTTCTGATCCTGAAAATGTCAGAAATGGACAGTTTCTATGTGCTGGGGACCCATACTATACATTCCTAACACAAACATTGGGTCACTCAACATTTCTGGGTTCATAAGCCTCTAGCTGACAAACATCCCCTTATATCCCTCACCCTCTTCCCCCTGTGCCACAATCACACACTTTTCCTTTTCCCTCTCTGGAGATATCTATCTATTTCTGCCTTGTTTATTACCTGCACATAGCTCACAATCTCTGTCTCCTGATATCTGGAGCCATTCTCTATCTTCATTCACTCCCCGCCTCCTGTCCAATTTTCCTGCTCTCAGCCCCATTCATCTCCCTCTCTGAGTCCCGGCGTCTCTTGATCACGACATTGCTCATTCCCTCCCTCTCTCCAGCACATCCATCCTCTCATCACCTCGCTGTTTTCCAACCTTCCCCTACCTCTTTCATTCATTCACTGAAAGGCGAGCAAATATCAGAAACAAACGGCTAGAGATTGACAAAAACCCGGTATCAAACGGGCCCTGGGGCAAACATTTAAAAGCTACGACGTTATCGGTTGTGTTTTTGGTACTGGAGAAATAAAAAATATATATAAAAGCTATTTCATATTTATTATTGCCACATACATGTTATGTTACACATGTTATCAGACCTATTTACTTTATCATTTTTAATATCATTACACAATTTGTCTATGATGCATCTTCGTCTGTGTGCGAGAAACAGAGATCCTCGTCGGTAACACAGAGAACGAAGCGTTCAAAAGTGTGGTTGAACTTCGAAACTCGATGTGGACAATGCTTGTTGCCATAAGTGAAATAAGTGTTATTGTGTAAGGGCAGAAACACGAGCAAACTGTCCAAACATCTGGCGAAAGTGCTTCATATTCAGAGAAATGAAACGTTTTTGACTGCTCCGATGTCCCATATCGATTACATTACCAAGTCAGATGTGTTTCTATTGCTGTCAATAATCGTTTATTTTACATTAAATAAAGCCATCTTAATTTTGTCCCAAATTAGTTTAGTTTTTCCCTTAACAAATTACAAAATGAACAGATACAAATAGCGTTAAAACATTGGATGGATAAGCAGTATCTGTGCTACCGTTAAAATCTAACGAAACCCATCCCTACAAACAGCGGGAGATGCAAATCTGGGCTTAATAGGGGGCCAGCTTACATTTCACCCTTCAGTGCAATGCATACAGTCAGCATAT